TATATTTGTATATATAATATATATATATATATATATTTTTTTTTTAATATATATATGTATCGACGGAGGGACGGACGGAGAGACGGACGGACGGACGGACGGACGGACAGATAGACAGACAGACAGATAGACAGACAGATAGATAGGACCCCTCCTGGACAAAAATCCAACAGCCACCACTGGTTCATAAATGAAAACAAATCAAAAATGGATTTAAAGTCTTAATGTCTTTACATGAGACTGAACTATTTATCCTGATTTCTTCAGATATATATTTTTTCCTATTTACGAGTATTGTTAATGTAAATAAAGATTATCTTGATAATGAACATTAAAAACACTAAAGAAGAAAACTTAATTGCTATGCTCAACATATAAACAGCAACAATAAATATGTCTACAGCTGATGTTCATTTCATTAAAAGGAGTGGCTCAGAAAACAAAAAATGCTGGATTCACATTTTGATCATGTTACGACTCATGTTAGGACACAAAATGGTGTTGGGGAGGTTAGCATATGACGAGGACTGAGAAGGAAAGTCTGTGTGTATTTGTTTGTGTTCAGATGGTGTGGTCGGACCTGTCAGAGCTGCCAGATGCCAGAAGGTACTCATTGGGGTGAAACTGGACACAGTTGACAGCTGCAGAGTGAGATGTAAACTCTGTGATGGTTTTCCCCTGATACAGGTCCCAGAGCTGCAAAGACAAGACGCATTATCTCGATTTGTTGGTACTGGAGCTGTTACTCTCAGCTCCCAGTCAGGTACAGTCTGTGGTTTTGTCTTGTCAGCTGCACTACAATACAACAGTAGCTCTAAATTGGCACCTGTTATGACACCTGTTATAAGGTTGTGATACCTGGAAATTTAAGGAGCCCAATCACTAAACTTGGTTTTCTCTGAAGTCAGGAGGTAAAAGACAACAGGCTGTCCAGTCTGCACCAAACGTTGGTTACGTACTGTAACCTCAGAATCTATGAGTATAGGCGTAGCCCTTTAAAGCTGTCGCTGGTGGGTTTTATCCCGTCATGCAAAGCATCGCACTAAAAAGTTTGGTCCGTGCCCACCTGTTGTGTGCGACCCACCCGGTCCGTATGAATTACGTTGAGAGTGGGTAATCGGCTCCCAAATAGCTTTTTCTTCAGCCATTTAGGACCCAGTGAGGCCCGATGCTTAAAGGGCTACGCCTATACTCATAGAATCTGGGGTTACAGTACGTAACCAACGTTCTATTTCGTATAAGCTTCGCCCTTTAAGCCTGTCGCTGGTGGGTTAAAGGGCGAAGCAGATGTAGTCCTCGCCTCACTGGGTCCATTGGAACACCATACGAAGCGCCAGCTTGCCCAAAAACGTCTTGTCATTCAGCTCTCCATGTGCGTACAGACGCGTGCTATGTAGCTATGCGTTCTGAGTGCATGAACGCCCCGGAAAAGCTTTCAATGGGGAAAAGGAAGATGCTGAAAAAAGGCCGTGAACCAAACAGATCCATGGCTGATCAATATGAACAGATTAATAATAACAAGTGGACTGATTATTAATCAAATGAACTGATTGGTAACAATAGTCATGAACTGATTAGTGACAATAGAACAAGAACAACAGTCACAACCTGCGACTGATAACATATCACACTGTAAATGCATGCAGTCAGATGTGAGTTTAAATGAGGTTCCATGAAACAACAATATTCATTCTGTTAAAACACTAAGGACATAATGTGTCATGGAATGAGCCGTCACATCACGTAGATAAAAGTGAATAAATGAGCAGGGTGTTGACCACGCGGCCGCGGTGCAAATATCCTGCATTGTCATACCATTATGCAAAGCAGTCAAAGATGCGATGCCCCTGGTCGAGTGCGCCCTGAGGTTATCAGGAGGCTCTAAATCTGATGCTCTGTAGGCTTCATAAATGGCCTCACACAACCAGTGTGACAGGCGCTGGGTGGATAATGGGCAACCTGCAGATGCATCTCTATAATACACAAACAAATGTTGAGTCTGACACATTGCGGCCATGCGTGCTATGTAGCACGTCAACGCCCACACAGGACAGAGAAGAAGGAAAGATACTTCTTCTTCTGATTTGTGGGGGGAGGGAAAAAACCCTCCAACGATATCGCTCTTGATTTAAAAGAGCTCGTGACGTTTTTAGGCATGAACACTGGGTTAGGCCTCAGATCAGCTGAGCTGCCGCCAGCCTGAATTCTGAGACATGACGGAGCGACAGAGAGGGCAGATAAATCAATCACCCCCTTAGCGGATGTTAAAGCCAAAAGCAGGGCTGTTTTCAGAGCGGCTGTGGCTGAGTGGTTAGAGCAGTCGTCCTCCAATGCAAGAGTTGGGGGTTCGAACCCCACAGCAGTCACAAGCCGAAGTGTCCCTGGGCAAGACAATGAACCCCTCATTGCCTCCGATGTGTGCCCCATCGGTGTATGAATGTGATAAATCACTGATTAGTCTCTTTAGAATGATTTGTTCAATTAGCTTTGTAGAGATCTAGTAGAGTGCTGTATGAATGGGTAAATGAGCGCACAGATTGTAGTGTAAAGTGCTTTGAGAATCTCAACAAGATAGAAAGGCGCTATATAAGTACAGTCCATTTACCATTTTAAGAGACAAGAATTTAATTGGAACCTGAATCAGTGGTTCAAATGGAGCTTTGATCAGGGCTCGCAGAACCAGCGTTAAATCCCACTGTGGAGCAAGTGGGCGTGAAAACAGGCCTGCGTCTCTGTACACCTTTTAAAAAACGCTTCATCAGCGGATGATTAAAAGCTGTTCTGTCCCCGAAACCTTCGTGAGAGGAAGAGATGGCTGCAGCGTACGTTTTAATCGTGCTGAATGCCAGATTTCTGCCCATCAGCTGCTGCAGAAAGGACAGCACGCTACCTAGTGGACATGAAGTGGCCTCTACACCATTCTCTGTACACTAGCGCTGAAAAGCTGTCCACTTTGATCGGTACAGTGCTGTGGTAGATGCAGCACGTGAATCCTGGATTGTGCACACTACATCTTGAGAGAAACCCACCTTCTCTAAGCGGATCCGTTCAGTGGCCAGACCCAAAGGTGCTGGCCTATTTCTGGGTAAGTCCTGATCGCTCCTCCCGCCTGGAGGAGAGCGTCCTCCCTGCATGGCAGTTTCCACGAGCGCCCCGATAACAGGCGTCGTAGAACTGGGAACCATGGTGCATTCACGTGCACGGGAGCCACTAGGAGAGCCGTCAATCCCTTCTCCTGAACTCGGTTCAGAAACCATAATATCAGAGGAGGTGGGGGGGACGCATCAAGAAGCGTTTTGGGCCATGGGCTGTGAGCAAACGCGTCCACCCCTAGCGGTGGTTCGTCCCATGGGCTCAGTGAGAACCATAGTTGACACTGAGCGTTCTCTCGTGTTGCAAACAGGTCCACAGCCGCTTTGCCAAATTTCTGCCACATCTGAGCCATCAGATCGGGGTGGAGGGTCCAGTCCCCGTGACGCGGACCGCCCCTGGACATTACATCTGCCCCTTTGTTCAGAACACCGGGGATGTACACTGTTCTGATGGAGAGCAGGTTTTGGTGTGCCCAACACAGTAATTGTCTCGCAATGTGTAACATTTGGGATGGGCGCACACACCCCCGCCAGTTTATGTATGCAGCAGTAACCTTGTTGTCTGTGTGAATCAAAACATGTTGATTCCGCAGCACAGAAGCAAAGTGTTGAATCACATTCAGAACCGTGCAACATTCCAGAACATTTATATGAGCAGTTGTGTGAGGTGGCCACAGCGCCCCTACAGCTCGGGATAGACATGTTCCCCCCCCAACCTAACAGCGACGCGTCTGTGAAGACTGACATGTGTGACGTAGGTCTGCTGACGGGGACTTCCTCCGACAGAACCAGGGAGTTTTCCCAGTGTCGGAGGTCTGTTCTCACGGAGGGAGGTGCAGTGATCATCCGTCTCTTCTGCTTTACCGAATCCACGCGCAGACGAGCAAACCATCTCTGGAGGCATCACATGTGGAGTAAGCCCAGCAGAACCACTGTGTGAGCTGACGACATTGTTCCTAACAGCTTCATGACGGAAATGGCTGTTACTACTCTGCCAGGCCTTACGTGGCGAAGCTGGTCTTTTAGAGTTTCGATTCTCATCTGTGATAAACGAGCCCTCATGGTGGTCGAGTTTAGCTCCACTCCCAGATAAACGATTGTCTGGGCCGGGAGAATCAAGCTTTTTTTCCAATTTATGGCGAAGCCCAGATTTAGCAGGTGTGACGTCAGCACCTGGGTCTGCGCCGCTGCTTCCTGTCTGGAGCGCGACAGCAGCAACAGGTCATCTAGGTAAAACAAAATTATCATCCCTGCTCTGTGTAATGGTTGCAGGGCCGTCTCCACACACTTTGAGAATGTACGAGGCGCGAGAGAATAACCAAACGGCAGCCTGTTGTACTGATACTGAATCCCTTGAAAACAGAAGCGCAGGAAATTTCTGTGCTTTGGGATGATCGGTATGTGGAAGTAGGTGTCTTTCAGATCGATGGAGATAAACCAATCGTTTCTCTGAATGTTGTCCAACAGTTGTCTGGTTGTCAACATGTGAAGCGGTCTGTCCATGATCGCCTTGTTGAAAACTGACAGGTCCAAAAAGGGTCTTGTTCCTCCGGTCCGTTTTGGAACCAGGACGTAACGTGAGTAAAACCCTGTGTTTTACTCTCCGTCGGGAACCTTGTAAATGACCTCTTTTAACAGAAGTTCCTGGACTTCTGCGTTCACCTGGTCTGGAGATGACAGAAACGTCTCTAAAACTCCTCCGAACAGAGGGGGTTGAGCTGCAAATTGTAGCGTATAACCCCTAATGATCAGCCTGCTCATCCAACTGTCTAGAGAGCACGTCCGCTGCCACTCAGCGTAACGTTCGTGGAGTGGGGGCTCGTTTATGTGGTGCGTCATGTTTCTTACGGACGTCAGCCAGTTTACAGCCTCGACCACCGTCATGCGTCGCGGAAGTGTGCTCCGCGTGACCCAAGGCGAGGCTTTCTCGAAAGGGCTCTGAGCACGCTTCTGTGTCTCGCTCAGGCTGCGGGTTCACACTCATGTCGATGTGAACCAGCGTGTGTTGAGGAGAGGTGTGTGCGCCTTCATCAACGCGGCGCTGTTTGGGTGAAAACTGCCGGTGCTGCGCGTTTGACAACGCTGCGGTGAGAAGCGTGTAGCTCCTACTGAGAGTGAGTTTTCCCACTGGACTCGTTCTGCGGTCTCACATACATGCTGATGCGAGCCGACGTGCTGGGGAGAGGTGTGCGCGCCTTCATCAACGCAGTGCCGTTTGGGTGAAGGTTGCCGGCGTCACGGGAGTGCGCGTTTGACATCGCTGCTGTGAAAAGCGTGCAGCTCAGACTGAGAGTGAGTTATCCCACTGGACTCGTTCTGCGGACCACATTCACTTTCGACTGCTGTGTCATGCGAGTGTCTCATGTTTATCTTTGAGCTGCGGTGATTTTGAAAAACCTGTTTTAAGGACACCGGCTCGTTTGTGTGGAGGATGTGTGAGAAGAAACCGCTGTGAGACGCTGGTGAGCTCGGTTGGAGAGCGACGTCACCGTCTGGCCATGCCTCCCCGGAGGCGCAGGACGCTGGTCCAACCTGGACATCTTTGCTCCGAGATCCTCCGCCAAGCTTGGCTCTGGGGTGGTGGTGGGGGGGTGGAATTTCCAC